TATATTACAGTACCTAATGATTAAAATATTATATTAAATTGATGTAAATTTATAAGTCAATACTAATGTGTACTGCGTTAATAATGTGAATTTTTTTTTTTTATTGAATTACGCAAAGAAAATTATAATATATAGGTACTCAATGGTGACAAATTTCAATCCCCTACGACTATAATATATTTTAAATTAAAATAAAATTGTTATTTTTTGTTTGAATAAAAAATGTTGTCAAAATGCTATCTTAAAATAAAACCTATTACTAAATAAAATAGTAAAGATATATATTTGATATTTATTAAGTACCAAAAAAAAAAAAAATATTGAGAAACGTAGAAAATGTTAAATCTTTTTAACTTGAAAAAAAATAGAATTAACATTAAGTAGTAAAAAAATTTTAAATAGTTGAAAATTTAAAATGTATAAATAGTTCAAAAAGTACCAAAATATTTTGAACATTATATTATGTCTGAAAATACTAATATTATGAACATTTCAAGTATCTATTACTGTAATTTATACAAAAAAAATATTTATTGAGATTGAGATTGACTTAGCCAAAAACTGCAATGGTGTACTCGTAAATACACACATCGTTTCAAACAAATAAATAAATTTACAGAGATCATTATATATTGATTCTTTAATCTTTTATTTATTTACTATAGATCTAGTATTTAAAAAAACTCTCCGAGATACTGCATTTAGTACGGCACGTTAACATATCGACACGACATTATTCGTTTATTTTTCGAACTCCAACGTATTATGTAYAGTATAGCCAATTAGGACGACTATATTAAATCAAGCTGTAAGTATAACTATAGAATATGACATTTGCTTGAATGGCATAATATTATACGATTTTGATATAYATATACATAGGTACCGCTCAAAACAATACAACTAATCTAAGTATACTAACCTATATTAGAGTATGCGTTCATTGGTTACCTTTTATGTTTAACTATATAATAAATTATATTTTGGTATAGGTATATACACTCTATGCATGCAATCGTTTTTTGGATAACCAACGATTTTACATGATTGAACTATGTTTATTATATTATATGACGTACCAATAGCTTTGATTTGWCTTATAAGTTATAAAAGATAAAGAAATCGTATAAAAATTTAATTTTTAAAAACAAACGCGTCAACATGTATGTTTATTCTTTATACTAATCATTTCATAAAACTCCAATAAACACACATTTTAAAATGAAAAAATGCACATTATAATACAAACATAACATTGTAACCAATGATATAACACATTTAGAACTTAAAAAATATATTTTGAAAATAAAACTTTCAGTATTATTCAATATTAATATACAAATACAACTTTTAAATAAATTAAATATATTTTAAGCAACATTTTCAAATGAATGCATAGTAAATTATTTATATAGTACGCGTCCAGTGGGCATCAAGAATTAGGTAGTGGAATTGGCGTAAGACCGCGTCTTACAGTCACAAACGCATTACACAAAAATKTACTCTAAGCAGTTCACGTTTATTTTAGTTAGCTTAGATATAATTATTAGAGTGAATCAATCTGTTGTAAAATTAAAATTTATTAAACTAACGAAATTAAGTGCAATAATTCGTTAAATGTAATTTTGCTCTGTTGACTGTTAGGCAAACAAGTGAGTGTAAAATTAGAAGTATTTTGTTTAATTTTTATTATTTAAAATTTGGGGATTTCTTAAGAAATTTAATTTAAGAGTTAATTTATTTTATTAGGTGTAGAATCATCTAATTTAATCCTATAATAACACAACTTCCAAGCCAAGTGCTACTATAATGAGTGGCTCCTTATTCACGTAACCTTATGTTTTTGTAATTCAAATCTCTCATATTGTGCTTATTGTGCTTATTGTGCTTAATTGTATAAATTGTGTATATACTTTTAAAAATAAAAATAAAATTAATTTTATTTATGTTCCCTAATATGTAAGTAATGACTGATAATATTAGGAAAATATATTTTTTTAAATAGGAATTTTTATTTAACAAATAAATTGTTATTTATTATAATATACTATATTATAATAAATAGTAATTGACATTCTAATTAAAAATACCTATATACTATATAATATATATATAATAATAATTAGGAAATGATTTCGGTTATTATATGTACCTAAATTTTAGATCTTGTTTTATTTTTAAATTATTATTATATATATTATGTAGTTTTAATTTAACATAATTAGTGTAACTAGGAATTTCTAATCAAATGCAACCACGTTTACACTAAAATCTTATTATTCAATTCGAATTATCAATAAGTACTATGAAAAATGTTAGACCTTATACTAAAATAGCATAGTGATCTRTACCCATTTGTGGTCACCAAGTCACTGTAGCATCATTAATCATTATTGTGCAAATACTTGTGTATCTACAGACAATAGTATTTTTTTGTATATGCCACTCGAAATGTGGCATTGAATTACTTAACCATTATTTGAAGTGATTGTGTTTTTAATTTTTAAAACTAAATATGCAGATTACTGTTAAATATATTATACGAGAATATTAAATAATATAAACGAATATAATTACATTTTGTTAAAATTCCTAACGATTGTATACATTTAGTTAGCTATTATAAGTTCTTCAGTCGCGCAATCATCGCTTTTAAACCAATATGATAATATATCTAGTGGTCAATATTTATTTGAGTGTTTGTTTATGTGAGCTAAATGTGGTGTACCAGTGGGACAAAATAGATTTGACAAATCATGAAAATCACCTACAGGAAACGGAACATGCCTATATTCCAGAAAATAATCTTGTGCACAGAATGAAAATTTGGAACAACACGTTGTATATGGCCATACCCAGGTTTAAGCCAGGCGTGCCGGCCACATTATGCAAAAGTTACAGAGGTACTATAAAACCATTYCCATCAATAAATATTCAGGAAGTAGGCAACTGCATTGGGATGCAAAACATCAAGGACATCGAAATCGATCATTTAGGCCAACTGTGGGTGTTAGACATAGGCAAAGTTTATGATCTAGAAAAACCGGATTATACTTGCGATCCAAAATTAGTTATACTAGACATTGGTACGGGAAAAATAATACAATCAGCGGTGATACCAAGCAGTATGTATACAATTCAAAGCATACTSAGTGGTATTTCGATTGACTTGAAATCACTTACCGCTGTAATAGCTGATATAGGTCCAAATTCTGGGTTTATTGTTTATAGATATGATTTAGGATATTTTCAAAAATTTCAATGCAAAATATTGTCCAGTGTTAAGGACTACAACGAAGCACTTTTAACTATATCTCCAATTGATAATATGTTATACTTCACCACCGTAGAAATGGACAGTCTATTCACAATTCCATTGAGTGTATTCAATGCACCTTTCGTCAATGACATAAGTCATTATGTTAACAACCATGGACTGAAAACAGACGTATCGACTGCTATGATCATGGATACGACTGGAAACTTATATCTAGGCTTGACTAGAAAAGTAATCGCCTGGAACACTTTAAAAAACAATTTCGACATCAAAGATTTGTACATACAAGAAGTGAGACTAGATTGGATTTCAAGTTTTGCGTTTGATTCAAACGGATATTTTTGGATGATTTCTTCAGCATTCAGTGATTTCTTAAATGGATCGAGTTCGAAAAGAATGAATACTAGAATATTTAAAAGGTTTTGTGGTACAACAGCCTTTGCACTTCTAAATGTTCAAATGCCTAAAAACAGTGCAAACGACACTCTCCCCATTAATTACAATTCTGTCGATACCAAAACTGCGTCTTCTATTTATATTTTAACTTTTATTATATTGTTGCAAATTGTATTGTAAAAATGTAACGCACCAATCACAACAAACACATATTTAAACATAAAAACTGTACAGAATTGTCATAACTACTCATAAGTAGCTACGAATTGTAAATTATAATAAGTTAAAGGCACAAGTCACGTTATTATTATACACTGTTAAATAAATTTATAATTATTTAAATTCATTACTTTGTTATTACACCCCAATTCCACCATTATTAAATAGATATAGGAACTGATAAAATTAATTGGATATGTAGCGATAATTATTTAATTGTATATTATAAAATTAATTAAAGAAGCATATACCTACACAGGACATTTTTTTTCTTAAAAACAAAATTCATATTATCTATATATTATTTTGTATCCTGCAGATAATAAAATCGAATACCAATCGTTTTACCGGGTCATATACATATAGGTACGTGTATAGTGTAATATTATATATAAATATATTTTAACTTTATTTTTTATTTTATATTTTATTTATTTATATTATTAACTTTGTCAAAACGAGAATGGAAAAGTATTCGATTTAACAATTCAGACAATTCTGAGTGTTAAATAGTAAGTTAATCTACACTGTGGTAATCACCAAGCAGTAATAACAATAAATAATCTTATACCTACATCTTATGTATAAACCTCCATTTAAATATAATTACTTAAGTAGGTATTATGAATTATGATGGATAATAAGAACAAAAATCAAAGAGAAGCTTTACACCAATATAACTAACCTTACATCAATATAGGTATCTATAATTTTTTTTTCTTCTTATTATTCTAAAAGTTCTCCTAAGTAGCATAGGCGCAATTTGGGGGAGGGGGGGCTTGAATGGGCTTAGCCCCTCCAGTATTAAAATTAGCCCCTTCAAAAATTTATATTTAAATTGAATCCTTCATTAATTTATCTAATATACATAATACAGTCCACCGTCGTTTCAAAAAAAATTTTTTAAAGTTAAATCTGAAAACATGAAACAAGCCAATGCAACAACATGATGTTAGACCTTAGTTACCCGCCGTATTACGATAACAATAAAATTACTGTCGAGTGTCTTATTTGGCTTATATATATAAACTGTTATCATTATCTTTAACAATTCCAATTAGCTCTGCAACATGTGAAAGATCATTCTCAGCAATGAGAAAGATTAAAAATTGGCTTCGAACATCTATGAATCGAGATAGATTTACAAATTTGTCATTAATTTGTATAGAACGAGATTTATCAAGTGAATTATTGTCCAACGAAAAAATATTAGATATGTTTGCAATTTCTAACCGAAGGTTCCAATTATAATAAAAAAAACCTACTTAATAAATAAATATATATTACATTTATTTACCTAAATGTTGTTATTTTTTCATACAAATATTTTTAGCTTTATTAATAGATGCATTATAATTTATTATATATTAAATGGGGGAAAGTGGGTGAGAAAAAAATGAAATAGCCATAGAGTCCCCCACGGGTCTGTTTCATTTAAATATGTTAATCCCCTCCAAGTTAAAAACTTAAATTGTGCCTATGCTAAGTAGGTATCTCTTAAATATGAATATTAATATTTCACTCGAAATATACAACTAGGCATTTATTTACAATTTTTTATGTAAAATTTTAGAGACGGGACCTCCCTAATTAATTCTTGTGTTTATGTACTTAMCTAGTTCAACGTTACCTTTATTGTTTAATTATAATATTATAAAAGTAACTTAACTCAAAATATTATTAAAGAATTTTTAAAAATATTGCCTTTTCCCTGAGTAATAACTTTATTGCAACCAAAGACCAAA